GGGAAAGCAAATAAAAGTCAAAATGAGATACCTGGTCACACCCAGCAGGATGGCTATGTTTAAAAATCAGAAAATAGGAAATGTTTTCAAGGATGTGTAGAAATTGAAACCCCTGTACATTTCCTAGTCGGAATGTAAAATGGTGTCGCTATCTATTCTACCTAAGAGAAATAGTTAGAACGGTAAGTTTTGTTAAGCATATTTTATACATAGCAAAAGGGTCCCCCAGGAACACACTTTGGGAAAGGTTGGCATGAGACATTGTGTCTGGACGTTCACGTTCACGGATAAAACCCCGTGGCCGAGCAAGAGGAGGGCTTCCCCTCATGGGAGGAGAAACCTATGGGGCCCGGCTCTAAGGGAGGAAGATGCCAGTGTCCCACTCGGTAAGAACTAGGACTCAGAGGGAAGGCCATAAGCGCAGAGCAGGACTGGCATCTGCTTCTCTGAGTCTTGACGTTCAGACATCCGTGAGGCAGTTCCTGGGGAGGGGACTTAGGGAAAGCCTTTACTGGAGGCAAGCTTTGGAAGCTTGGAAACCAGGAATCCAGGCCGAAGGCCTGAGACAGTATGCACCCAACGTACACCCCCCCAGGGACTAGGGCTAATTACCGCAGCCATTGTAGACTCTACTGTTTACATTCAGATTTCAGGTTGCTTAGCAACCTCGGGATTTAATAAAGGCCTTTTCCAATTTTTAACCTGTTTTCAGTTGCTAAGGGGAACTCCTTTGGCAGGGAGTTGGGCCCACCCTTTGGCCAGGACAGGAAACTGAATTACCCACCCCAATGGTACTAAGATTGCCCTAGGGAATGATGACAATTGAGAATAACAAAGAAAGACAGGATCTTATTAGCCAGTCCCTCACTACTTCCTCCTAGCAACTAATTTCAGGAGGCTCTGGTTTTCATTTGAATAAAGAAAATAATACAACATAGCTACAAGTTGTTGAGCTTTCATCGTGTGCTAGTGTCCGAACTTTGTATGCATGTTTCTATTTGTTCCCCACAAAAAACCCAGAAGGAAATACCCTTTTTATTCATTTACTCAAATTTTTTTATTTAGATGAAAACAAAAATACAAGCTTTAAAAAGTTTTTACTTGCCCACATCAGCCAGCTGGGAACAGGTGGAGCTGGGCTACAGACCTGGGCAACTAGACTCCGCGTCCCCCTCCCCATGGCCATGTCATCCTGTCTTTCAGCCACCCTTGCACATGGCTGCACTGTCTGCATCTCCCTTCTCGGTCACAAGAGGTGGATTCTTTGCGTGCACTTTTCTGTCTTCTTCCCCACACTCACAGTTAGAACCGGAGGCACCCGGGAAACCCTCTGTCTATCTGTTGAGTGCTGTTCCGCATAAAAGCAGGGGAATGGAAAAAATCAAACTGACTTTTTATGAGAAAAACGCCCTCGTCTTCAACACCTAAAATAGCATTTCTCATTGCCCAATCTGTCCTCTCAAAGGCACAATAAAGGAAATAAAATTAAAAGTTCCTTCTGCTGCTGCCAGGAGTGTTGGCATTTTCCCAACTGCTAATGTTTTCTAACTGGCTTCCTACATTCCAAGGGACAATGATCAAGGCCAGTCCAGTGTGTCAGCAAGTAGGTGAGTGTCTCCACGCTGGAATCCAAAGGGTGAGGTGGGGGTGGGCACCGAGAGACCCTCCTACTCCCAAAGACACACACCTGTAAGTTCTCCCTCAAACAATTTCAAGGCATTGATATGCAAACAGCCCCTAATCCCCTCTTCTATGTGCATGGCCCTTTAACAACCTGTAGAGAGTTGAATACTCTTGAGAGATTACCCAGCACTTTTACTTGTCTCCCCTCTTCTATGTGCATGGCCCTTTAACAACCCATAGAGAGTTGAACACTCTTGAGAGATTACCCAGCACTTTTGTCTCATCCTGTCATTTAAAAAAACCTTTGGTGTTGCTCTTACTTTTCTTATTTTATATGTGAGGGTTTTAAAGCTTACTAGTGATCAGGAAAGCTGGGACTAGTATCGAAGGCTTTTCACTCCGAGCCCAGGGTCCTCTGGATGTAAGGTGTCTGCAGTTATGAACACTCTTCACACAGTTCCTTCTCCTGGCAGGAGCCTGACCCCCTGGCAAGGAAGTTTAGATAGATGTCCTGAGAGGGCCACGTTCGGAGGATGGCATAGGAAGAAGGAAGGCCCCCGCGGGGTGGCAGACTCCTCCCTGAGCCCAACCGAGGTGGCTCAGGTTCATAGCATGTGCTCTTGTGGGAAGACATGGACCTGGGGTCTGGAGCCCTGGGTTCCAACTCAACTGGGCTACGAAGTCACCCTGGGCCACCACACTGGCCAGAGTCTCCATTTCTCTCTGTGCAGAAAGAAGAGGCCGGGTATTTCAGGTCCGCTAAAGCTCTTAACTTGAGTCATCTTTTAGTGTCAACAGGTCTGCAAGTGCTACTGTGGGACAAGGGTAATCAACAAACATTATTGTTGGGAGTTTAGCTAAGCTCTTCCATAGTAATGCTGCCTCTGCATCCATTTTTTTTTTTTGGCCAAGTGACCTGATGGGGGCTTTAACCTGACACTAGTCCCCTCATACAAACACATGCCGTGCATAGCAGCCCACAGAGTAACATGCAAATGGAAGTTTCTGGTATAACTTCCCAGCAGCCCTTGTGAGCAAGTCTCCCCCATACCCTTCCTTACCCCGCCCCTTAGGTAAGAGCCTCTCACCGTTTACCAAAACCTGTTCTTTTTGTTTGAATTGATTAATCCTGCCCTAGTCTGAGAACCCCCAAAGCATTCTACAAGCTATCAAAATATCTATAATAATAAAAGCATAATATGCTAATTAGACCAGGCAACCTTCCAGGTGACCTTCCGGACGACCATGCTATGACACTCACTGGTGCCAGGTCAGCCAAGGCAGGTGCAATGCGGTTGATCGGGGGCCCAGCCATCACCCCATGATCCCCGGCAGAGAAAGGCCCAGGTCACGGGCCATACATATGGGGCGATCAATGGGAGGGAGGGGGCGGGCTCCATGATCGCCCCAAAGAGGGAGGCCCAGGCCACGGACTGGCAGGCTGCAGCGGGTGGGCGGGGCCTCCCTCCGCGAGGGAAGCCCAGGTCCTGGGTGACTGCTGGCTGCTGGAGAGAAGCCCGGGTCCTGGGTGCCGAGGGAAGGAAGGCCTACTCTTGCACGAATTTCATGCATCGGGCCTCCAATGTAATCATAATCATCTTGTTTGGGGAGGAATAACGTTTAAGAATGACTTTTTTCAAAGATTTTATTTCTTTTATTATAAGATATATAGGTAAACACTTGCATATTCTAAAAAAGATATAAAATGATACTAAAATGGACATTTTTCTTATTAAGAAACATGTCATAAATATGCTTTATCAAATGTTAAAATGGTTATTATTCTGCAAAATAATAAATAGAGCAGAGCTGTGGGATACAAGAGTCAACTCACCGTACTGGAAATATTTATGTCTTGTGTCATAAAAATTCAGGCCTTTGATTACACTTAAAAATGTGGCACTTTGCACTCCAGATTCTCAATAATTCAGATTTTAAAAATATTTTTATGATGCCCCTGTGACTGTAAAAATAATGAAACATAAAAGGTGGTTTGACTAAGTTAACTTGATTAAAATAAATTGCCCTGGATAAAAAATTATAAGACACAGAAGTGAAGATATACTTTTTGAAACCCATAGTGGTACATGTATCAGTCCTCAATTCTACAAATTTTTGGATCCCCAACTGTGAGCACTGGGCAAAAACCGTTTGCAAGGTTTACTCTCCAGCAGGTCCATCATTTCTTTTCACAGCTGGAGGGAGCAATAACAGTCCCGATGAGCTCGATCCCACAGTCCTAGCTCCACAAATATAAGGAGCTTCCGTCCCTGGAATAAACGCTCTTCTATTTGTTTATGACCCAGTGGCCTCAAATTCAAATATCAGAACCCTGGGGAGAATTTTAATAATGAACAGTTATTTTTCTAGGCATTCTTTTAAGGCTTCGATTCTCTACTACCCA